GGGTTTAGGGTTTAGGGCGTAGGAAGCCTAGAGCTAGAAACATTTTGAAGCGACTTCCCAAAGAGACCCAGGTGCAGAAACTCGCGAGAAAACGAAGATTCAACCCTCATCCAGATCCGGAAGGGGTTTAGGGTTTAGGGTTTGCGCTTATGTGCAGGCTACCACCGCCGACGCAGTGGAGACGCAGGGTGTCTTCGCCATTTTGGGATGTGGTGTGTCGGGTGTGCAGGTTTCTGATTAAAAAGACACGCACTATGGAGTTCTGCCGTTCAGTTACCCTAAGGGTCCATGTACCTAAATAGTAGAACATTGGCCCTAAAGTACCCATATAAGGACTACATATTGGCCCTAAAGTACCCATATAGGGACTACATTAAGGCCAAAGTGTATAATATTTGGGTACATGGACCCTTAGGGTTAGGGTGGCCGTGTGGCCGGCACATCTTCTGCACTAACTATCTTCCCTTGCGCAGGACCCGCTGTGCTACCCCTCATGCATAGGCCATGTTTGCTTCGGAAGACTCTGAATCCCGCCAGTACTTAAGAGTCCCGGTCGTGGGGGGATCCACGCTGGCATACTCTGACTTTGGGTTCGGGGGGTGCTTTTCTCTTTTTGACTCCGGGAGTGCATTCGCCCCGCCGAAACAACTCACCAAAGCCCCAAGGCAGTTGCCGAACTGGTTGACTGCATTCATTCCAGTCCTCGGCCCCACCCGGGGGGCCCGAATTTCCCGAATTCCATTGTTTCTTGGTCCCTTAGGATCAGGAAAGCCGGCGTCGAATCCTAACCCCCTGTGCCTGCGTTGTGCAAGCGCGCGAGTGAAGAAACCCTCGAGGATTGGATTCTTCTGGCTTCATGCACCTACACCTATACCAGCAGTGCGACGCCATACTTCTCCTCGGAGGCTTTGCTGTTCGGGGTTGCAGATCCAAAGGCTCAAAGCCTAGGTTAGGACTAGCTTCTGTGCGGCTGATAGTCTCTGTTAGTTTGGGGTCTAGCCGCAGCTTAGCTTTTGGGACCCTTCTTTCCATCTTCTTCTAAAGCTTCCAGCCATTGGTGTGCATGTTCTCAACAATCCAGCCTTATCTGACCATGGTCTGGGTATATATACCTCAAGCTCCGTGCAATACCCAAACCCCACAGCTTTCGCACTGAAATCACGGACCATTCCCGAAGCTCGGTCCCAGAGTGACATCGCGGGACAGAGGACAGGAAACCCATCAGAAGACATGCAACCACAAAATTCAGTAGCAAAAAAATCCAGGGTAACACACCACACCACCACACCCCTTGTCTTTTCTGATGCACCGTACAATTCAGGTCCTACGGAACGCAGATGCTTGGGTTGAGGGCTATGTTCGCAGCGCTACAGCGCAGATAGTCCTAGTATTAAGTGGACGAGCAAAAGGCACCACAAAGAAGCAAGGCAATCACTGAAGGCTTCGCTTTCACTAACTAGAGTACCCATAGGCCCTAAAGTAGTTCCTTTTGGGGTTCATATATAGAATCCTATAAGGTAACCCCAAAAAGGAACTACTATGGGGCCTATGGGTAACTAGAGTTTGGGCTTGACTTGCTAAGACAGAATTGGTCCTGGGCTGTGTATCTGCTACGCCCCAGACCCCCTAAGTGCAGATGCCGGAGTCGTTACAGTAGTACTTGGAGGTTCATGGGTAGTAATAATTGGGGTTATAAGTAGGGCATACTTATAACCCATATTAGGGGACTTATGACCCCACTTCTAACTACCCATGAAGTAGACACCAACCTCGAACCTGAGACAGTTTTTTTGTCCACTGTACGGTCTGTGGCAACAGGGAGTGTCGCAACGGAGCGAGAGGCTCTCCCAAAGTGCCTCCCTCGTTCGAGCTTTCTCTGCTGGTGAGTGCAAAAGAGCTCGGGCACCAACGGTACTCCCACTCGCCGAATCTCCACAGGAGACCCCCACCAACAAACCGATACAAGGCCAGTTCCCAGCCAACAATCTTAAATCGATGCTTTTGAGACATAAGGCTTCAGAAGGTTTAGGGACCTTGGCCGTCCCCCCACGCACCCCCCCCCCTAAACCCTAAACCCTAAACCCCTAAACCCTAAACCCTAAACCCCTAAACTCTTGCAGGTATGGGCGTGGAGCAGTGCGGAAGGCCCGGGCACAGAGAGATCGACTCGCACGACTGGCAGCACAAGAGGCCTGAACACCATGTGGAGTCTAGTGCCCAACGATGGGAAATCTAGCTTTGCGGTTCCTTTTTGGGGATACCTTATAAGATCCTTATTATATATTTGGTGAAACCAAAAAATGGAACTACAATGGAGATTACAGGCAGAGGTCAGTCTTTTCTCCGAGACGCAGTGGGAATTGGGAATAGGATGGCACAGCTCGGAGGATGAGGCGAAAGCATGTGGGGATACTTATGTATGCATATGTATGTATATATGTATATCATATCATATCATGTCATATCATATCATACCATACCATACCATATCATATCATATCATATCATATCATATCATATCATATCATATCATATCATATCATATCATATCATATCATATCATATATGTGTGTATGTATGTATGTATGTATGCATGCATGTATGTATGTATGTATGTATGTATGTATGTATGTGTCGTGTGCATATGTATGTATGTATGCATGTATGCATGTATGCATGTATGTACGTATGTATGTATGTATGTATGTATGTATGTATGTATGTTGTATGTATGTATGTATGTATGCTATGCTATGCTACGCTACGCTATGCTGTGTTGTGTTATGCTATGTTATGTTATGTTATGTTATGTTATGTTATGTTATGTTATGTTGTGGTGTGGTGTGGTGTGGTGTGGTGTGTTGTGTTTATGTTATGTTATGTTATGTTATGTTATGTTATGTTATGTTATGTTATGATATGATATGTTATGTTATGTTATGTTATGTTATGTTATGTTATGGTGTGGTGTGGTGTGGTGTGTTGTGTTATGTTATGTTATGTTATGTTGTGTTGTGTTGTGTTGTGGTGTGGTGTGGTGTGTTGTGTTATGTTATGTTATGTTATGTTATGTTGTGTTGTGTTGTGTTGTGGTGTGGTGTGTTGTGTTATGTTATGTTATGTTATGTTATGTTTTGGTGTGTTGTGTTATGTTTTGGTGTGTTGTGTTGTAATGTGTTATGTTATGTTATGTTATGTTATGTTGTGTTATGTTATGTTATGTTATGTTATGTTATGTTATGTTATGGTGTGGTGTGGTGTGGTGTGTTGTGTTGTGTTGTGTTGTGCTATGTTATGTTATGTTATGTTA